AAGTAAAGTATCTTAGGGATAGAAGACCTGGGTTCAAATCTTGCTCCACCATGGAAGCTCGTTTTAGTGTGGCAATGAAAAACCTTCATTGTCTCACAAATCTGAAAACCCCTGTTATGGTTGCCACACGTCAGAAATGACTTGACATCGTAGAATAACAACAAAGGGTATACAGTACTTGGTATTTCCATGCCAAATTTCAGTATATACAAATCCACAGTATTGCTACTTTTGTAACCTTAACCTTTTAGCTTCAAAACTGTTGTAACTTTACATGACCATGCTGTTATAGCTGTTCCAGGATGCTTCTCAGGAAGCTGAAATATAGGTGGGCAATTGGGAAAATATTTGCCACCAGTATTAATATTTCAACATAAAATAGCTGATGCAGCAAAGTTGAGTTCTGTATATGTGAATGAGAAAATTAAGAAACCCATTGCTTGTTCATAGGCCCATTTGCAACAGATAAAATACATTTTAGTGCTAGCAAAAGAAGAGCAGGAGAAACAGATTTATTGTGGAAAATAATAAGACAAATAGCTAGCTCAGTGGTTTAGGTATCTGGCTGCAGAACCAGAGATTAGGAATTTGATTCCCCAATGTGCCTCTAGGGAGAATAGCCAGCCTGTGTGGCCTTGGGCAAGCTGCACAGACCCAGGGCGCCCCCAGAAGAAGAGAGTGGTAAACCACTTCTATGTATTCTCTACCTCAAAAACCCTGAAACTGGTTGCCATAAGTCAGAGTTGACTTCATGGCACATGATCATCATCATTATTATTAAGGGGTTATGAGTAGCAGAGGTTGAAAATAGAAAAATAAGATTCTATTTGGGAAATACTCTTTTAGTAGTATAGTATGTTGATCAGGTGACTGAATAGCTCAGTGGTTTAGGTATCTGGCTGTGGAGCCAGAAGTTGTAAGTTCAATTCCCCACTGTGCTTCCTGGGAGAAGAGCCAGCCTGTGTGGCCTTGGGCAAGCTGCACAGTCCCAGGATGTCACCAAAAGAAGGGAACGGTAAACTACCTCTGAAGACTCTCTTCCTAGAAAACTCTGGAAAAGGTTGCCATAAGTCAAAATTGACTTGAGGACACACAATACAAACATACATAGTAGAGTATGTTATGTAGAGAGTTGGATACATGTTCAGATGCAGAAGAAAGAAAATACTGAATCCAGAGAATTAAAGAGGGCAATGCATATTTAATGTGGGGTTTTCACAGGTCCGTGCTGTCTAAAATAAAACAGCAAAATGCATAGCCTCAATAAAAATATATGATAATGTGGCACTGACTATAGTAAGCTACTAGTACAACTCTTAAAAAAATCTTAGAGATCCATTCTTCTATTAGCAGACTGCACAGTTACCTTCATGGAATTCCTAGTTACCTGTTACTACCAGCTAAATACAAAGCAACTTGCTGTGAACAAAGAGCTTGGATATATGACAAGTGCCACAAGCCACAAATCGTATATTATAAATTCTGAACATGTAGCCTCACTATTCATGCAAACAAAAGTGAACAAAGATGCTGAAAGTTGTGCGTGAAACAACCCAGAGCACATCACAATTAATTCTTCTCCTCAAATTCAGGGTTTAACAGCTTAGAATCATATATTCAGAAAGATCATGTTTTAATTATCCAAACAATAGTAGTCAAAATAAATCAAGGTCAAAATTGCAAAAACAGCTCTCTCATTCCTATAATTATTCTTTAAATAGGTTTCATTAGGTTATATGCTAGAAATATGCAACATATGCATTAATCCTTGCTATTTCCCGAGTTAATAACAAAAGTGGGAAAATCACCAAAAGACTATTTTACTTTCTCACGCTCACATGCCAAATGTTTCTTGAAGGGTACCCTCTTGAGGTATCAGGTGGCACTCTGTTACTGCTGGAAAGAGTATTCCTTCGGAATCCTCTCTTACAATGTGGTCAGTACTGGCAGCCACCACATGAGGGCTCATCTGCGTACAGAATTGGAATGCTAATATATGGATTGTACCTCGGAAATGTACACAGCAATTTTCCATTCTAGCCTTTGATGGTTTTCAGTGTATACGGGTGGAAAGTTGTTTTGGTCATCCCCTTGCAGGACCACAAAAATAGAAATCTGTTGGGAACATAGGCATAATCTCTCACACAACCTTTTTGATGCATGACACTACACTTAAAGAACTACCAGTTCATTACATTTTCTTTTCTTGTAGTAGGTTTCTTAAACCCACAGACTCCTCCTCCTTGCCAGCTCAGCAAACTTTCTTCTCTAGGTTACCTGCTGTGTTATCACTATTGCCAGCATTACTCTTTCTCTCAAAGGAGTCTATAAATAGGAAACACCTACAATAAAACAAGTGCATTGAAAGGCACGAATGTACATTAAAAGCATAATAACAATCCAGAAATACCAGAACTGGGTAGGAAAAACATTATCTGTATATTCATAGTTCAGTATATATTCCCAGTGATCTCTTTCTCAGATTTCATACAGATTAAAGACAAGCTCGCTGTCTCCAATTTTATACTGACGAATGATGACAGCGGGCTTTTTAAAATACTGTCATACAGCTCAGTGGCAGTCTTCTCTGTTGGTTCTGTCTTTAATGTAATCTTGCATCCAAAAAGAATTCTCCTCCTTCTGCCTCCAGATGGCATTAAAATACAACATTATTTAAACAAACAAACAAACCTTCAATTATTTTTAA